GGAGGAACATCGCTAAACGACCAATTGTTGCAGGGGCCTGACCTGACAAATCGACTCGTGGGTGTTCTAACAAGATTCTGCCAGGGACTGATCGCCTTCATGAGTGATATTGATGCTATGTTCTATCAAGTCCGAGTACCAGAAGGCCAGAGAGACTTCTTGCGCTTCCTATGGTGGCCTGATGGAGATTTAATGCAGAATCTTGAGGAGTATCAGATGAACGTCCATCTATTTGGTGTGGTTTCCTTGCTGACTTGTTCAAACTTCGCGCTACGCAAAGCAGCTGATGACGCCGAGGAGGCCGTTGGTCCAGAAACTGCTAACGTGTTGAGGAAGAATTTCTATGTTGACGACAGTCTTCGTCCAGAAGAAATGGAGGAGTCCGCTATTCAAAGAATACATGGTGTTGGCCATGCCCGTGTACACGGAGGTTTCAATCTGGCCAAGTTCGTTAGCAACAGTAGACCCGTACTAGAAAGTGTCCCAGACGAAGCACGTGCCCAAGACGTGAGAACATTAGAGCTAGGCAGTGGTGAACTTCTGGTTGAGAGGGCTCTTGGCGTACAGTGAGCAATCGAGTGGGATACGTTTGGTTTCAGAATCATCCTTAAAGACCAGCCACTAACCCGAAGAGGAATATTGTCTACGATACCTTCCGTTTATGACCCTCTGGGAATAGCAGCACCCTTTCTGTTGGTCGGAAAGTCAATACTGCAGGATCTGTGTCGCACCAAGTCAAGCTGGGATGAAGAAATTGGCGACGAGTACCGTGTATGTTGGGAGAATTGGAAAAGCCAGTTGCCTGCCCTGGAACGTTTCTCTATGGAGCGATGTCTCAAGCCTGTAGACTTTGGTACAGTTGTCTCCAGACAAATCCACAACGTCTCTGATGCTAGCTCAATGGGTTACGGTCAAGTGACATACCTCAGAATCGAGAACGAGAAAGGAGACATTCATTGTGCGTTCCTTATGGGGAAAGCCGGCGTAGCTCCCGTTAAGACCATGACAATTCCACGCCTTGAGCTTACGGCAGCCACAGTTTCAGTTAGAGTGGGAGAGATGATTGCTAGAGAGTTAGACGAACCTGCTGAGAGTAAGACTTATTGGACAGACGGTGCGACTGTTTTGAAGTACATTCGAAATGACAAGAAGCGTTTCCACATGTTTGTGGCGAATCGTGTGCAAACAATAAGAAATGCAACGAATCCTAACCAGTGGAGGTACATTAGACCGACATTAATCCGGCTAATGACTCGTCATGTGGTTTGAAAGGCCATGAGTTATCCAAATAGCATCATTGGATTACAGGTCCAAATTTCCTATGGCTTCCTGAGAGCGAATGGCCTCAACTTCCTGGTGACTTGGACGACGTTTCCTACAATGATCCTGTGGTAAAGAAGGTTTTTGTGCACAGCTTGTATGTTGAAGAGAACACAGACCTTTTGAAGAGGCTTACACACTTTTCCGAGTGGCACCGTATGAAAAACTGGATACTCCGTCTAAAACCAAACTCTGATGAGAGGGCATTGCTTCCCAAGGATGGAGCAGACAAAGTGAGATGTACCACAAATGCGAAACGCAAGCCCCTAAGAGTAGAAGAATTAGACAGAGCAGAGAAGACCATTCTGAAATTGGCACAAAGCGGTGCATTTCCCAAAGAAATAGAAGCTCTGCAGAAAGTTCGACGAGTAGATTGTGAGAGTGACTGTCAATTTGCGAAGGCAATAAAGTCCGAAATGAAGAAATCTAGCACGTTTGATCACCTTGATCCTTTCCTGGACTGGGACGGACTCGTACGTGTTGGTGGAAGGCTAAGCAAGTCAGAAGAGTTTTCAGAAGGCTTTAAGCATCCTGTGATCCTCCCAAAGAAGAGTTTCATCGTGTACCTCATAATTCATGAGGCCCATACGAAGGTCGTCCATGCTGGCAGGGGCATTACGCTGGGGGAACTAAGAAGTCAATATTGGATACTTAACGCCAATTCTGTTGTGAGACATTTCATCTCCAAGTGCGTGGTGTGTTGTCATCTTCGTGGAACGACAGGTGAACAAAAGATGGCTGACCTTCCTAAGGAGCGAATAACACCCTCTCCTCCCTTCACATATAGTGGCGTTGAGTACTTTGGTCCCTTCTACATCAAGCAAGGACAGAAAGATGTTAAATGCTATGGAGTACTATTTACCTGCCTAGCTAGCTGAATGGTGCACATTGAAATAGCCGACTCGTTGGAAATGAATTCCTTCATGAACGCTCTTCGACCATTCATAGCAAGGAGAGGGCCAGTACATGAGATCAGACCAGATCAAGGCACCAACATCGTAGGAGCAGAAAGAGAGAACTAAAGAAAGCTTTAGACGAGCTGGACCACAGTGCAATCCAAAGGAATCTTTGCAGAGACTTCAATGCTGATTGGATTATCCAATGGAAACGGAATCCTCCGGCAGCGTCCCAAATGGGTGGCGTTTGGGAGTGCCAGAAACGGTCTGTCAGAACAAATTTTGTCTGCATTGATGCGAGAACATGGCCACACCGTCGACAATGAGTCCTTTAGAATCCTGTTGACTGAGGTAGAATGCATCATGAACAGTCGCCCGCTCACTGTCCTGTCAAGCGATCCCGAGGATCTGGATCCACTCACACCAAATCACATACAGACTATGAAGTCAAGGGTTGTCATGCCTCCACCAGAAAACTTTCAGAAAGCTGATTTGTACCTCCGTAAAAGATGGAAACGTGTGCAGTATCTTTCCAATGTCTTTTGGTTGAGATGGAGAAAAGAGTATGTCCAAAATCTACAAAAGAGAGTAAAATGGAACCGCCCCCGAAGAAACTTTGAAAAGGGAGACCTGTTACTTATTGTAGATGATAGAGCCCCGAGAAACGACTGGAGCATGGTCCCAGTTGTCAACGTACACCCGGATTCAAATGGACAGGTCAGATCAGTCAGAGTTACCATGGCAACAACAACCTAGACGGATCCCAGACGAAATGACTGTGTTGACTCTTTTTGTTGACTTTTGATAAAATACAATTACAGGCTGGCCAATCAGAATTGTTGGTTCCCACGGCTAGTAAAATTCCAGGATGAATGAAGCAGAAAGGTTTTCCACTGATTTATCCATTTCTTTCATTTAACAGCTTTAACAGTTGATATATCTTAATTTTTTGGACATTATTATAGGCAATCGAGCAATTGATCTTAACTTCAGCAGAAGGTAAGATCTTTCAGTTTTGATGTGCATTCTTTTGCCTGGATGAAACAACCTGTTAAAAGTTTCCTCAACATTTCTAAATACTTGGAAATGTTCCTACAAAATTGGTCGCA